CAGGTGGTTTGGATTTACAGGAAAATATTACTAGTTTTTGTGAAATCACTGTTATCTCACAGCAGTGGCTATATTGTGTCAGATATTGTTTGTCCATGTGAAGTTCCTACAGTGTAGAGCATGAAATGGTGATTCCCAACTGAAGAACTCAGGTACAAATAATGATTTGTTTCTCACTTCTTAGAGAAGTCTAGGAATAGCACTTTCCCTGAAATCACATCTTTGCTGTTCATGCAGACATCAGCTCTCCCAGATGGCACACCTTGCATTAGAAAAGAAATCAGACAACTTCTTTGATCACACACAACACAGTCTGCCAGGATTTCATCCTGCTTTGAATGTCAGAAGCCAAAAAGACCCCAACAAAACAACAGCCCCAAAACATTGGTGACAAAGTACAACTCCTATAATTATAATGGGTTAATGACAGTTTCTGTTGCATTACACTGCAAATTCAAACTTTCATCCCAAAAGAAAGGGATGAGGAGGGCTGCAGAGAGCTATATTCATGGAAACCCCTGGCTCAGTTCTCCAGGGCATTGAGTTCTGAGCCTCAGAGCCAAGCAATGTGTTACCTGCTGATGTCCTCACCTCCCTGCTTGTTTCATCTCACAGGGGCCAGGATATGCAGAGTTAAGGGAAAGTCAGATAAGGGTTAATGCCATTGACCACAAGCAATACCTGTTGCTGCTGGCCAGCATGCCCACAATCTGTCAAGGTCCCCACAGACCAGGAACATTCAGGTCTAAGTCTCATTCATGTTTCTCTGATGGGTAAATCTGTCCTGAGCATCTCTGGACAAACTCTGAATGGTGTAGTGTTGTAGGAAATAATCTTCCCTCACTTGGGTACTGCTTCAGAGACTGGGGGAATCTCATAATTTGCATTTTTAGACTGATTAATTCTAATGGTGTAGTTTTAATATTTCATTTACATATGCACAGTTATTTGTGATGCAGATTCACCCCAAGTGAGAGTGTGAAATGGCAGGATAATGACAGGTTTTGTGAAAATAAATCTTGGATACATTGACAGCCACTGATGCATTAACATCTCAACAATATTAATTAGTTATATATAGACAGAATTTGATTATAAACCGCTAGAGCCTTCTCCTAAAGGTGAACATCAAAATACTCATGCCAGGTGAAAAAGTTAATTTTGTTCCTTTTCACCTATATTCTATTGGATTATATCAACTAGGATGCTGAATGGTTACTCTGCATATAATAATGTGCCATGAGAGGAATGCAGGGGAGCATAACACTGATATAAGCATATTCACCACTCCCTTTGATGGGAAATTTTTTGAATTTAAAGTTTCAGATATATCAGTCATTGCAGAGAAAGGTGTAAGGTATCACTCTGATGGTGTGAGTTAGTTCTAGACCCTCAGCAAGCATAAAGGCTCAAAACCTACCACTGTTTCTTCACTTCATCTTGCATAATAAAAGCAGCAAATTACATGAAGCCATGAAATACCTGTAAGCTTTTACACAGATGTATTTTGTCATTGCTCTGAAGCACCCTTGAGATTTAGAGCAGAAGTGTCTTCAGAGACCAGGATCTCGCCTTTCATGAATTCCACCTCTCCATACTATGCCATGAAGCTCTCCATGGTGGATTCAATAACTTCCTTCTTCAGCTGGAAATAATCTTGCCGACAAAAAGATTGCCTATGTCCATGTCACCAGGCTCTCTATGTCTTTCTGCTTTCTTCTGTACCTCTCACACACCTTAGGTATTTTGGCTCAACCTTAGTAGATGTTCTTTTTGCTCTTTATGTCCAAGCTCCAGGCACAACCCCCCCAAAACTGGGCTAACTGTTTTCACCCTGGTGCAATCCGTCTGGTTTGCTAAGTTGTGCCCAGCTGAATGGGCACCCCCAAGGTTTACGTAGCCTCCTCTGTGAAGGTTTGGAAAGCCATGGGCATGGCAGCTGAGCAGGAAGGTGTGGATACCTCAGAGCCCTGAGGTATCACTGCCACAGCAGTTTTATACTGCAGCTGTAAGACGTGCATTAACTGATCCCCAAACCAGGAGTGCCAATTATCTTAGACACAAGGGGGGCTTTGTCTTCTTACCTCCATAAACAGAAACAGAGCTGTGCTGCTAGAGGCCAGAACAAATAACAAAGCATTCTCCTTCCACACAATCATCCCAATTTTTCTTCTATCCTTTCTTTAAAGAAGGAAGCACAGCACATTTGGGACACTGTTCTGGTTTTGTGTCCTGGGTAATAGTATGCAGGATTTCAAAAATATAGAAAAAATTGGAAACATGACTGCATGGTAGCACATGGCATTTCTGGGTATTTTTATTTTAATGTCTAATTTCTCTGAGATTAGCTGTGTCCCTGTCAACAAAAGAAAGCAACCCTTTTCTGGAAAAACAAATCTTTGTTGGAGTTTAGTGTCTTCAGACATTTAGCTTCTACACTACTTTTGCAGGATAGTGCCAGAAATAATAATAAGGTTTATTAATCTTATACTATTTTTCTCCTCTATCATTTTCTGTTATGTGCTTAAATGCTCTTATTAGAAGCATAATCTTTTATGCTTAAGTAGGATCAAGTACTTGACCTTTTCTTTGAGCAAACGTTTGCTTATTTTGCAGGAGAAAGAAAGAGGACAGCAATTTCAAAAGGCTTTAAAACAGAAAATAAAAGCAAGCCTTTCTCCTTGAGCTGTGCTCCTCCTTGCTGTGGCAGATTTAAGTCATGCTCCATGTTATTTCAATATGCTTCTTTTGTAACTGAAATGTGTTCAGGAATATGGGTAAGACATAGATCCTCCAGTCATTTCAGTATCAGCCTGAGTAACCATAGAACAAACTCTGTGGGGTACACTTTCAAAAGTGTCAGTGCTCGCTTCTTCTGTGGCATTTGTAGATATTACCACTGGTTCTTGCTCTACCACTGCTGGAGTGGCTCTAGACTGGAGCGGATATTTATTGACTGCCAAACATAATAAACCACACAGAAACCACAAGTGAAGTGTTTCTTCTCCACTGCTATAACTGGGATTACTTTAGCCAGATGCATGAGGAACCTTGCCACGCAAGAAACATATTCTACTTTGTTTTTGGGTTTTTTTGTTATTTATGTTCTGCTAAGGAGTACAATCTTAATCAGCACACTATCCATTTTCCAGTTCATGATGGGCAATGCAGACAGGAACCAGGCATGCTTTGGTTATCTGCATATGTTAAAGCAGTCTGTCTGGTCAGAAAATTGCTCTAAAGAGATTTTTAAAAACTCTAAAAAAGAGATCAGAATTTTATACCATACGCAAAATAAGTCGTCTATTTACAAGGAAGGTGAGTCCTTGGAAAAATCCTAATATAATTTTGAAGAACATTGTAAGGTAACTTCATTAAAAACGAAACTTTTTTTTCTTTAAATAGATTTTAAAATTTAGAATCTGAAGGCATGACTGGGGTATTTTACTTGGGGTCGATATTATTATTATTACTATTAATAATAATAATAATAATAATAATAATAATATTAAACCAAATTTTCTTGGCTTTTGATGAAGAGCTTCTAAGACATCTGCAAATATCTACTCTGAGTTTAAGAAACAGCAATGAACGCCTCTGTAACTGGGTACTTTTAATATCCCAGCCTTGATGTGAACGTTGGTAAAGCACTGAGTTTGTTAACAGGGCTGCTCTGGGAGAGAAATTATAAGGATCTTGTTTTCTTGAAGACAAGGTGCCAAATTCTTTTACTTGTGCTTACTTCAGGATTGCTCTTCAGTAGCAGCAGCAAGAGAAAAAAGCTTCTGCTTTCTTCTCATCTTAAAAATTTAAAAGACAAGGAGTGCAGCCACATCTGCCTAAACATCCCTGTCTCATTTCCAAGCTAAGAATAAACCTCAGACCACTTGTCCCTCATACTCTGGTTAGCCTTTGCATTGGCCACCTTTAGTGGAAGGCAGCAAATGTCCCTCTGTGGCCCCTGCCTTTTGTGCATCAGCTGGTTGCCACCCCCGGCCAGGAGCTGCTGCTGAAGGGTCACAGCTCCGAGCATCTCAAAGCATCAACACTTGTCCTATGGCCAGCAACACCTCCAAGCACTCAGGTTCCCTCTTCTCCATCGTGACAGTGTTTGTGGGCACTCAGCGAACAGGGTAAGATACACCTGGACAGCCAGACAAAGAGGGCTACCAGCCCTTAACATGTTTTCATAAATCTAAACACACAGGAGTGCTTTGGGTATCTGTGGTGTACATCTACCCCAGCTAACTCTCTCACACTGGGGTGCAGGTGAATTCTGACCATATACAACTTTCCCCCACCCCCTACCTCTCATCAGTACTACAAGAAAATGGTAATTTCTTATTTTTCTAAAGTAAATTAAAAAGAAATAAAATTAGGTTTCCCTCTTTTCCCCTTTCATGGCCTTATGGTCTGGTTCGGAAAGATGCTTAGGTCTTCCAAGAGTGTTTTCCTGTTGCTGCAACAAGATGATAGATAATGAATGTGGTAAGAGCAGCTAAGTTACAGGAAAAAAAAGGCACCTCTTGCCAGAAAGACCAGCATAGTTTGAACTGTCAGTTCATGGTTGTAAATAAATCTTTTCATTTTAGCCTTTGGAGCGTTTACATAAATTGTTTCCAAATGCTCTAGACCTGCATGGCTCATGTCACTGGAGTTGCCAGACACAAATCTTCCTTCCTCAGGGGAAGAGAAACAAACAGATAGAAAATTCTCCATGCGTACTGTTCTTCTGGAAAAATAGTGAGGTGGGAGAAATAACTGTACATCTTGAAGGAAGGCTCTTTGTTTCCTGTGCAGGTGGCTAACACAACATATCGATCCAGGGGCACAGGTAGAGAGAGCCTCAGCACTACTGGGGCTACAAAGTCCCCCTTTGGCATCTGCAGGGGCTTAATTCTGTGTCTCCAGATGCTGTTACAACAGCTCTTTCTCTTGTGCTTGTGCATCTGCACCTCTCAGTACTCAACACCCCCTAAGAAGAATTGAAATAAAAGATGGACACAACAGCATTTATTAGGCTTGCAGGCATAGCTGAAGAAGAAGGCAAGGTCTGATTTTTCAATAGTCAATAGTGTCATGGGACGGGGGAACACTGGATAATTTCTTAATGACATGATGAGCCCTAATATTTATGTGGTAATATGATAATTTTAGGAATTGATGCCTAAAATGAGATTGAGACAACAGGGAAAGAAAAGGAAAGAAGCATAGATTTTGAGTCAGTCTACTAACTTTTTGGTAATTTTCCTGCCAATTCTTACTTCCTGTGAGACACAGTGTGGGCAGTACTAACATTTGGCATAAGCTGTAGCTTCTCTTTTGGGCATGCAACAGAAAGCTCTTTTCCTTTCGGAGATGTACTTGTTATGTCTGATGCTGTAGGAGGGAGACTGAATGACAGAAAAAATCAATTTCTCCATCATGATTATGTTGAGAGCAATCTGAAAGAGCATAAGTATAGAATGACTACAGTGATAAAATCTGAAGACCTTTTACCACAAAGAGCTGTAATAATGATGAGCCTCTGTCCCACAACACTTTACGGTCAACAAGTATCAAATACAAGAGAAAGCAATAGATCAATAGCAAGGAGGTTGAATTGCAACTTGTGTCCTTCCACAGCTGTGCAAGTCTCTTGATTTGGTTTTTTTTTCCCTTAAAGTCCAAAACAGTGCATAAAGCCTGCACTCAGCTGAACACGAAGGGATTTTATATAACAGGAATTAATGAACAGGCAATGTAGAGGACCACCTGTACAAAGTGACAGGCAAAAAATATTGCTCAGTATAATTTTGCATTTCTTGATTGTAAGACAACAGCGAATTTATTTTTTGTAGTTCCTTCTAGTATTTAGTAGATAGGCACCATCGTTACCTCATATTTAATTATCTCTGAAGCAGAAAAAACCCTGTACAATATGCTCAAAATACCACATAGTAGGTCATGAGATTCAATCCAAGGCATGGATTTAAACAGCCTGGAATTTTGGGATGCTTCATCCTTAATTCCAGTTTACTGAATGAAACCACATGAATCTGAATTCCTAACTTTAAGAGATATTGGATCCAAAATTGGCCCCAGATCCAATAAAAGATTCACATAACTAATGCCAAAATGCAGATCTTGTGTTTCAGTTTCCCAAATCTCTAGAGCTGTTCCTCAAATCTCATCCAGAGCTGCCCCTGCAGTGTCTTCATAGAGCAGAGTTCATCCCTAAATCTGTTTGAGATGTAGAAATGGGGACTGCCTCTCCCTGCTCTGGGTGAGGGGGACAATCCCCTGGGACAGTCTTAGAGCACATTTAATAAAACTAGATCCCTTTAAGGATAGGAGTGCAGTGCCCTGGTATTTTCTGAAATAGAGGCAGCAACTATTAAATAGTTGCTGAATTCTTTTGAATTGTTGAATTATTGTGCTATTATATAAATTATTAAATACATGTATTACATAATGCTTGCCTCTGCTCCTGTGAAATGCACCCAGAAGACAGTATAGCACTCAAGAGGGAAAGGTTTGTGACCAAGAGACAGGAACATCCACCTCTAAGGGAACAGTCCTTCTTCCAGTCGCAATGCTCTTCTATATTTTACATTTAGCAGCTTTAGAAGGAATGGTATAAACCTGTAAAGGAATCACACTCTGTAGTTTTTGCTTTCACACATCATGACAACAGAGAAACTTTTCACTCTTCAGTATCACACATCTACTTTTAAATCAGGGCTAGAAAGAAGTAGTTCTGAAGATGGGCTACAAATGCAAGTTCATAAGTGGTTTCTGCTCACATTTGAACTTAGCGATAATGTACATTAAATGGGCAACAAAATCCTATCATTTGGAAAAAAATACCTAATGTAGTCTGGTAAACATTCAGATTTCTGTCCTAAATACAGATTATTTGAACAAAAGCTATCACTCCTCTCAGACATAGTCATACATCTACACATATAACTCAGCATACCTCGGTCTGACTCCATTCATTTTGCTGAGATTACTTCAGAAGGAAATTAAATCCTGACTAGTTCTTTCCCAGGAAAGTCCAAACCTATTATGTAGGTTAGGGGTGTAAACTGGTTCAGAACAGAGAGGAAAATCCATGATCATCCTTTAAATGTTCTGGTACAGACTGCAGGTGTACTTCAAGAGAAGACTTGGAATTGGAAGAAGAATTGGAAGCAATTGTTAAGGAAAGGTCCCTTTATATTGTTCCTGTTCTCCTGCCTTCCATTGCTAGCTGCTGCTGTTGCAAATGGGCTAGAGGGAGCTTTGGGTGTCATTGCACTTCTCTCTCCAGCACATCTTCTTAATTTCTGTCTTCTTATGAGTCTTATGATCCTCTCTAGTCCTTGAGGACAAAGAGCACCCTACATACTCCCAGTTCCCCTCTGGGATAAGAAAGTTATTTAGTTCCTAGACCGTCTTTAAGGCCAATGTAGTTGCACTGCTAGTGGTGGTCAGAAGCACAGATAACCAGCTGCCAGGATTTGTGCTTCCTCCAAGCACGTTTTGGGCTTTGCTAGTTTGTCTCTCTTCTTTAGTATCTACTTGGAATTCAGACTTTCCAGCAGTTGAGACATCACTTACCTACTTCACATATGTAAAAGCAGTCACCCCTCAGTCTGTGCTAGTCACCACAAAATTCAGCAGTGGATTGACCATTAAAAAAAAAAAAAGCTTTCTAGTAATCAAAATAAAGTTTGTCAAGTCAGACAGCCCTAAAACTTTAATCCTATCCCAGCTAGACAGAATAAAAAGATAATAACAAAAACTTAAATCCTGGAGGAGAACTCAGGATTTCAGAATGCCCTATGGGTGGCTCCCACTGTCAGAGGGAGAGGACAAACTCCAGAAATCAGTGACCTGTGCCAAGAACACTAAGCAAGTAACGTTTTGTTTAAAACTGAGAGCTGAAGTTGGCGAAAGGACTGCAGCTGCTGTAAATGTCACTAGTGCATGAAAGACAGAGGTAGCCACTTAGGCTATTAGTACTCAAAACATTAAAGGATTTATAGATCAGATATGGCTTAAAGAGGAGATGCAGCCTGGCAGGCAGTGAAGATCATGTAGTCCAGGCGGCATGCACTTTCTGCTTGGGAAATTCCCTTTCCTAAGCACACAGCTATGCCCTGCTCCAGCTGTAACTTCCAAACAGATTTCAGGTGCAACTCATGCTGCAAGCCTCAGGTAAAGGAAAGTGATGACTGTAAAGAAACCCAAAATAAATTGTCCCAGGCAATAATAAATATTCATCAAAGGTGTTTGTGTCATCTTTGCTTGTGTGTGCATCCAGAAAATGATAGAGATGTAATAAAACTTGAGGAGTAAACATCAATTGTCCCTAATTTGGACAAGCTGAAACATCATATACAGTTTCTTCTGCTTGTTTTTTCCCTTCCATAATCATTGTTTGGCATTTGTCTGAGCCAGGACATCTGGCACCCCACTCCCATTTGTGTCCCAGTACACTACAGCTGTTGGATGACTCCTTCAGTTGCATCAGTCACCAATCCTACACCTTCTGTCTCCATAGTCCCATGCATGAGCAGAGATGGAGGGTTGGTGTCTGCCTGTGGGGGAATAATTGCCAGACACTGGATAACTGAGGATGCAGAGAAGGAAGGTGCAGGAGCACATAACTGTGGTGCCTGATAGGCCGTGCATGACTAAAGTCTGCTAGCATTGTAAACCTTTCCCTTGCCTTATGCAGGAGATGCTGCTTCTGAAAATTAGCTGGCTCATCCTCTTACTGGACTTGACTCCCTCCATCCCCTAGGGAAACACCTTCTTGTTGCAGACCTATAGGTCAAAATTCCATTTACAAATCCCATGAGAATTCTTCAGACTCAGGGTTTACTCCTCCCTCTCATCTCTGACACTAGGTCTGGCCAAAGATGGATCAACAGACGGCTAATTTAGATGGGCTGCACTTCAAAATTTATAGCCCAGTTTCTTCCTATTGTGTTCATTTATTTGACTGAAAGTTGGATTAAAACTGAGGTACAATGTGATAAACAAGAATTGATAAACCTTTCCTGGGGGATTGGATCAAGTGTAGCTCAGTCTGACGTGTGCCTGTTCCCGTCTTTGTGGTAGGATAACTGGACTCCAGACAGCAACATGACTGAACGCTTTGATTGCCACTACTGCCAAGAGTCTCTCTTTGGTAAGAAGTACATCCTGAAGGAGGACAGCCCCTACTGTGTGAAATGTTATGAAAATCTTTATTCCAATACCTGTGAGGAATGCAAAAAACCTATTGGCGCTGACTGCAAGGTATGTTGGATTTGTGTCTTTTTCAGAATTCTTGACAGAGCAGCCTGTGTAACAGGATACCCCTGTATCTGTTTTGTGTCATCACTTGGCATACCCTTCTTTACCCAGCACCTTAATAGAAATGCACTCCTTTAAAGCACAGAACGATCTGATGCTTTGATGTAAGAAACTATCTTTGATTCACTGGGAGAGCCTTTCCTTGGGGCCAGCTAGGATCTGAAAGGGTGACAGGAGCTGGTTGTGCCTAATTTTGGGTCAGAGGGAGCTAAGCCACTGCTGGCTTTGCAGTGACCACACTTCTGTGGTCATCGAGAGACACACAGTCAAGCTAAGGTGCTAACTTGGAGGTTACAGAAATCTAGCTAATGCTGACTCAAGCAATAAATCATAGAATTAGAAAAATTATCCTCTTAAATACAGAGTGATGATAGTGGAGTCTAATTACAGAATGGGATGGACAGAGCAGAGGCCATCCTTGCTTGAGTTATGCACTGCTACAACACATGGAAACACCTGCCTGGTACAGATTAGATGTGACCACCTGTATTTCTTACAAATTAATTAAAACAACTGGAGTTCATGCCAGTTTCAGCTGCCTCAATGTAGACAGAGGAGCCATCCAATGAAGGGTCTGTTATACAGCTACCAACAGACTTCATCTGATATACATCCTCCTTGCATAAAATTGACCTGTTCAAAGTTGGCAAGATTTTTACTGACAGCGTGAGATTGAAATAGAACTGCAATTTGTATTGCATGCCAGAGGATTCTTCACTGACCCAAAGAGATCTGATTTTTGATTTCCCACTGCTGATCCATACCTCTAGAAAGAAAAATTAGTGTTACTATCACTCGATCACTAGTTCAAAGATATAAAAATATATGCTTACTCAGACTGGAAAAATAAATGTCTCATACATTCCAAATTGATCTACAACACCTTATTGGCAAATCAGTAGGAAAGTCCCTTTCAGAAGCCTTAAAAAGGTAAAAATGTTTCACCACCAAGACAGGGAACTGGCAATGATCTGTAGGAAGGTATAAAATTGCCTGCTTTCCTACAGCTCATAAATATTCAGGTTAGAGATGAGATACAGCTGGCCTGACCTGACCTGAAAAAGCAAAATATTCCTGCCTCATTCCAGAATGAGCTTTTGTTTTAAGGTCTCTTTCTAATCCCCTGAGAAGATATTTCCATGTGTTGATAGTCAAGAATTTAAAAACTTGGACCAGCTTCAACAAATCTTGGTCAAAGTACTCAGGAATTAATCGGGCTGAACTTTTCAACCCAGATTTATGTATTTAGGGAGTGTGGGTGTTATCCGATATACTGCTTTTCTTTACTTTTAAGTGAGACACACTCTAATATCAGATAGAAAAAAAAAAAAAAGCCCCAACTGTCTGCAACCTAAGAATACTTTTTCTATGTAAAGAACCAGAACTCTATGTGGAAAATACAACTAAGAGATAGTAAATAAAGATTTCTTAAAGAGTTATAAAACATGCCAGAAACAAAGATGTCCTTTTTTGTTTCTGTGATGACTGTTTGTGCCCATCCATGCCTTATGCTGTAGCTTTTGAAGCTGTTGACCAATTTTAAGCAGATTCTGATAGACCGATAAAAGTTGAAACTTAAATTCCTGTAATTTTTCTGAAAAAAAACCCCGTGTTTGTGTAGAAAAAGAGATCCTATGAATGTTCTCACTGAGAAGAAAACTAGAGTAGTTTTTCAATGACAGTACTAGACACTAGAGAACACATTTGAGAGAGCCCTTGCAAGTGCCTCAGCCACAAGATAAGTTTCAGATGAAGTGTGTGCACTGTATGACTGAGCATAATTCAGCCATGAAAGAGTTACAAAAAATCAGGCTTTTCCTTATTAAACTGCATGGGTGCATAGGTATATAAATACATAAGAAATAAACACACACACATATATGTATGCATTTTTACATAATCCTTTTTACACATTGCATTTACTTTTTCACCTGAACAAAGAAGATAAATTGTACTAGGTTTGGGAATGAAACCAGTGTGTTTATTGCATGTGTGAAACAGACTCTAATTTGTTTGTATGCTCGACATAACCTAAAAATGTAAAATTTGGGATGAAAACCTAATGGACTAATAGTATAATGAGAAAAGGTCACATCCAGGCCTCTGCATCTGGCAGTGGCGTCCACACTTACATCCACATTACACCCTGGAAAGTCTCATGTAGTTCTCATGTGAGATTTTCCTTCACAAGTCCCTTCTTGGCCACCATTATTTCTCTACACTGAGAAAAGCCACACTGAGAACCAGATGCTCTCAATTTCCTTATTTTCCACCCTCCCAATTACAATCAAACCTCCTATAACTGGCAGGGTTACACCAAAATAAAACCACAGGTGCTGAGAAGAGGACACTTGTAATATTCAAATTCTGAAGCACCAGACTCTGAGAGGATGAAATTGAAGCTGGATTTTCACATTGTGTTTTAGCTATAGCACAGAGAGCCCACAAGACAACAACCCAACAAACAATGTTGTAGAGAAACTTACCTTGAATTCAAGTCAGGGGAGAATTTTCTTCACTATCTTTCTAATTTTTAAGGTAGTTTATGGATAACTTAAATGTAACTGAGGAACAAATAATTTGTTCTTTATTTTAAAACAAGTCTTTTCCACTAAAAAATCCCGGAATGACAATATATGTCTGAACGACACCTTTGGGCATAGGCCATTTCATTAACTGTAAACAGTTCTAGCTGATGCTTACAAAACTTTCACAGACAAATTAAAATACATACTTCATATACTGAGTGGTAGGAGGCACCAGCAGACAGTATGAAAACACAATGGCATTTCTCTCACACCTATTACACATTATCCATATGCCAAGTGGTCACAGGAGAAGTTTACTTTTTCTGGAAAAAATTGGCACTTTATTTTCTAAGTCCCTGGTGGATGCTCACCACACCTACAGTTTCATGCTTATTTCTGAAAATCCATATATCTTGTACTCATTTGCTTCACTGCTGAAGGGTTACTTTTGGTTGACTTTGGTTTTTTTAATACTTTCCTTGCAGATCCTATGGCATAGAAACCATTGCAAACACAGGAAATACCTACAGTAATCCTGTGTTTAATGCAGTCCACAAGTTGACCTTGGCAGGCAGAAGGGGATGAAAACTCTCTCTGTGAAATGTGAAAATTAAATTATGAGTAGATTGTGAGATACAGCTACTGTGTCAGCACACAGGCCAAAAATTACTCAAAAGGGTCATTTTCATACATAAACTAAGCAAAAAAAACCCAAACCAAACCAAAACAAAAAAACCCCCAATAACCCTCCAGTACTGAGGACCAGGAAAAGGAAAAAATAATTATTTTCCCCATTTTTAATATTTCAACCCTGTCCCAACTTGGCACACTTTTCTAGCACATTACTGAATCTCAGCAAAAGTTATAAAGTGAAATGGCAAAAGAAGTGGATGCCTTAATATCTTCTCATACATGTAAGGGACTGAGTACAGCTTAATATCGCTTGGTTTTGCCTTTTCTCAACATAATTTTATAGGTGTGTGCCAGTCTAACATACTTTAGTGTTTTGCTACAGGGTATATGTAGCTAAAATCTGCATGATATTTAGTTGGCATAAGCCATTTTCTACATTCAACCTTCTGAAAAGGCCATTGTGGCAGGCAAAAAAGTCATGGACAACATATAAAGTTACTGTTCTGGTAATAAGCTCTCTAATCTCCTTCTTCCTACTGGGTCTCTGTTGAAACCCTGTTCAAGAGAAATGGTACTGCTTAATGGCTTCAGTTTACTTAGACTTAAAAACCCTGAGGAGAAGACAACATAAATGCAGGGTATGAGGAGCCCAAGCTTAACCCAGCTGACTGGTAAACCTAGTCTAAAGGGCTCTTCTGGGTTTTTTAAAAACCACACTTTTCTAAGTCACATGCAGTCCCACCTAGAGGCCAAATAAACCATGCTGGAGCAAAACTACTCTACAGAGCTGTGGAGAAGCTGTAAAACTTGATCATACCAAAGTTAACAGTTATCTTGTCAAAGTTCTCTTTCTGGATGTCATAATGAAAATAAGTGAAAATACAACAGCAATTAGTCGTATATCACTTGTACCTTCTGCTGGAACAGATTTATTTGGGTTACAATCAGCTAGCATAAACTAGAATTCACATGCCTGGACTAAATCTGATATTCTCTCAGCCTAACAGAGGAGCAGCCTGACATTCAGAAAGCTTTAAGTCAGTTTTTGCAGATGTTCTTCCAGCATAAAATTTGCTCCCGATCAATACATCCACAGCTTATGGACAAGTCAAAGGCTCCAGTAAGATATACAACATGCTGAAATAGACCAAATCTCCTTTTCAGTGACCTAAGAATACTCATGATGCATAAATGGTTTCATCAGTACCTTGGACTTCCTTGCTTTCAGATGAGACAGATTCAGAGAGAAAAAACAATATCCATTTCATCATCTAATACTCTACTGCTAAAACCAGACATCTTAGAATTCTCTACATTCAATGACAACAGTTGTTATAGTAATCCAGAGTAGCTAAAGATTATTCAATCCCCTTTTTATCTTGGGTACTTTTTGTCGTAGTTTTGCTTCATAACTTCATCATGATGAAATATCTACTGTTACCTACTCAGTTACTGCCTATAAAATCTTGCCATCATAACAGACTCAGGGATCAAATCTTTCATCATTGACACTTAATCTTTGTCTTCATTACTCCTCTTCTAGAAGGCATGCACCTTCTTCAGGGTACAATTCCATTGATAAAATAAGCAAACATCAGCACATGAATTTTGAATATTAAAAAATAGCTGGCTGAAAAATTGCAAAAACAGGAAATGACAGCTAGTGAGGAAAAATAATTGAATACATCATGTTACAAGAGAAACAAAATCAGATCTGTTGTTATACTTTACAGAGGGCAAATTCCAGTTCTTTTGGGAAACACTGTATATTGTATTTTTCTATTGAAAAAATAATGTGAGACCAGATGTAGGCTATTCGACTTCACCTAAAGAAAAAAAAAGTTACTTCCATAAAAGATTGGTTTGAATTTGCTATTAGAAAATATCAAAATTTTACAGTCAGGAATTTGTGTTGTTTCAAAAGGATTTAGCTGAAATGAACAGATGAGCTGAATAAACAACTGAAAGCTGTACAGTTGAAGTCTTAGGTATTCTGTCACAGAGATGAAAGACACATTGGGTGTCAATTGTTACTCAAAATGATTCAAAAAATTTAGGTGAGTAGCACAGATGTCCAAACAGAAATGCTTAATTGCATGGTCAAATTCTGACAGAAATTATTATCTAGTTGAGCTAGATGAAACTATTTCAGTGTTTCCTGCTCCCAAAGACACAATATTATTTTAGTTTAACCTAAATCTGTGGTAGGTATCTTTAGTTTGCCCTGGGCTAAGATTGCACATTTGGAGTTATCTGTGACTGTACTGACTGACATATACAGCTTATGCCAGATCAGGTATGAACCCTTTGTGATGCTTCACACAACTTTGGAAAATTGGAAATTCATTATTCTACCACTCTCTCTCTTCCTTCAATTACCCCAATTAAGTTCATTAGCCTGCAATAAATACAAAATAGATCTTGAGCTAGAACCTGGGAAGTTATTTCAGCTGAATTTTTATACTCCCTATTCATGACAATTCTAGCCTTTCACACTCCCAACCCAAACCAGAGCCTCTATATTTTGGGGTAGATACCGTTTCTTGTAATCATCCAAACTATTTTATTTGAGGTCCAAAGTTCAAGTGTTACATGGACAGGCCACCTTAATTTAATTTTTAAAAAGCCCAATTCAGAGAAGGACTGTTTCTTTTAAATAATAAAAGAAGTCAATGTGAAGAGTATTTTAAGTACTAACTTGCCCACACTAATCCCTTGGCCAGTACTCTGGATCACTGGATGCAGGTACAATGTGGTCTCATATCTTTCAGTGAAATCCACATCTAAAATATAGGTAAATCAAAACACAAGAGTCAGTAAAAATTTGTTGTAGTGAAAAAAACCCAATGAGATCAGACTCATTCCACCCTTGGTGTAAATCTTTCGAAAAAATACCAGAACGCAATTGGGAAAAAATACTTCTGTTCTGGAGTAAATATCTGTGAAATGAACTAGAAATCAGTAATGGTTAAGGCAAATAGTGGAAGTCTATCATACCTATCAGGTTAACAAGTTTTAATCCAACTCAAAGGCGGGGCTTTATTCTCCAAGGAAATACCTAAGAGAAATTAGCTGCTCCTCTATCACATACAAAAAGGGTTACCTTGAACTGAAAAAGGGTTGATAGTTGACATGAGCTGCTCTTGGTTTTCACAGCAAAATAAGTTCACCTTAGAACATTTTGTTTTCTTCAAATTACCCCCAGCTCCTGACTGGAGTTCAGATTTGGATGTGTTTGCATTCTCTGAGCTTCCAGTTGTGCAAGTGTGGAATGTGCATTCATTCCCCTGACTCTGTGGTTTTGGATTTCTACAGGATCTGTCTTACAAGGACCGCCACTGGCATGAAAACTGCTTCCACTGCTTCCAGTGCAAGAATTCATTGGTGGACAAACCTTTTGCTGCAAAAGAGGAGCATCTACTTTGTACTGACTGCTACTCCAACGAATACTCTTCCAAATGTAATGAGTGCAAGAAGACTATTATGCCAGGTTAGGATGCTCACTTTTTGGACTAAAAATCAAAACCAAACTCAGCAATGTTTGTGAGAAATGTTTCTTCTTGACTATCTCTACTAAGTCATGCTGAACTGTGTCAGAAACTAGTGAGGGTGCATTCTAGGCCACTTCCATGACTAGAACATGTAATGTTCATAATGGCTCACGGAAGAACATTCATTCATGTGAAACTTTTTTTGCAATTACTCTAAATTTCGCTTCGCTCAGATAGATGAAAAATTGGTCTGAGTGCCTCTGAGGTCTTTCTTGAGCACAAAGAAATGAAAAAAAAGGAAAGAGCTGTTTTCTTTTTCAACATGAAACATGAGGTTACAGTAAGAGATTGCTAAAACTTGGTCTTTTCACATCAATACTATAGCATTCTGTGATGATTTGAGGGCTTTGACATTGAAGTGTTATCAGTGCAGAAATAAAATATTAAAAGGTGATTTGAAGAATCCTTGTACACACTCCATAACGATTAGTAGTTACTTTGTCAGCTGGTTCTGATGTTGGTCATCTCAGATAAAAAGAGAAAACCACAACATTTTGTCCCTGGAATGTAAAAATAAATGCTTGATGATTAAATAGGACAACAATACTTAACAGCAGACGACCCTATCTATTCATGACCAAGTTTAGGCATTTCCTATTATTCCATGGGCACTCATTTTGCTGACACAGCAATAAAAACTGACATGCCTGGGAATAGGCAGTGCTAGTTTTAAAGCTGGAACTAAATGACACAGAAAGTCCATTCACATCCCAGAAAGCCATTTGTATCCTGGGCTGCATCCAAAGCAGGATGGGCAGCAGGTCAAGGGAGGTGATTCTGCCCCATAACTTTGGTCTTGAGAGATCCCACCTGGAGTGCTGCATCCAGCTCTGGGAACCCCAACACACGAAAAACATGGAATTACTGGGGGAGGTCCAGAGGAGGGCCACAAAGACAACTGGAGCACTTTGCTTATAAAGACAAGTTGAGAGAGTTGGGATTGTTCAGCCTGAAGAGAAGAAGGCTCTGGGGAAACGTGATTGCAGCATTTCAGTATTGAAAGGGGACCTGTAAAAAAGATGTGGAGTAACTTTTTAGCAGGGCCCGTTGCAATAGAATGAAGTGTAATGGTTTTAAAGTAAAAGAGGGTTGATTGAGATTAGATATAAAGAATAAGTTTTATACAATGAGGGGGTAAGGTAAAACACTGGAACAGGTTGCCCAGAGAGGTGATGGATTCCCATACCTGGAAAAATTCAAGGCCAGTTTGGATGGGGTTCTGAGCAACCTCATACCGTTGAAGATGTCCCTGCTTACTGTGAGGGCTTGGATTAGATGATCTCTAAAGGTTCCTTTCAACCAAAATTATTCTGTGAATCTATGATTCTATAATTTTATGTGTATATATTTTTAATACTGTTCATCGGGTTCATCGCCATTTCAGTGATTTACTGAATGGATCTCTTTTTTTCTGTTATGCCAGCTATACATTGATATGTAGTAATGGAGGCTGGATTCAGTGGCACAGACTCCCTTCTTCTCTTGTAACCCAAAAGAGAAGAAATTCATTTTTGTAAGCTTTACAGCTACCCACTGGTCTCTAGCTGCTTACCCAAGATAGCTGAGATGTCACCACACTGGAAGAGCAGTACACTCAGCATGTTTTTTCTACTTACACAGCACACTGTGGTAGCATAGGAGCTACAGCAGAGGACTATGGTTACCAGTGAAAGCATAATTCATTTTGAAAGAACCAGCAAATGGTTCAATGACCTTTGTGGAGACTGTTAATGCTAAACTTAACATTTGCTTTGAGCCACTAAATGTAAAATACAGATTTAATGAAGCTTTATCATGATGTGCCTATTTAAGTGATTACAAGCTTGGTCTTTCATTACTTTTGCAAACTCAACTCATGCTGACTTCAGTCTAGCAGCTGACAAAACAGGGTTCTCCCTGCTTTGAGTTTCAGCGACAATAACATCCCACAGAGAGCAGAGTTGAAAATGTTAAAATAAAATTCTAAACTATTAAAGAAATTTTTCCACATCTCCTTTTTCCAGAACATTATTCAAGGACTGATTTATTTGCTCCTTGACATGATACAGGAAGTTACCAGCATAGAGAGGGCATAATTTGTAGAGGGTGTCTATTAATAAAGTGGAGCAGAAATATTCAAGAATGTAAGCATCAGAAAGAAAGGTAATTAACATTTAACTTACTACTGATGCAAGTAAATTTTAAAAAAACCCACCGAATAAATCCTGAAGTATGCCTCTCAGCAGAATTTAATGAGCTCATAAAAGAAGAAAAATAGTATACAAAGATGAAATAATTCTTGAGAAGGGGAAAAATGGTAAAACTTCACCCTGCAGTAATAGGGGTGGGCAGAATTGGCGTCAAAGTTATTAGGGTGGTTCTTCATCATTAGCCAACTTGATCAGCTTGTCAGTCTTCCAAGTATTTGACTTTGTGTTTGCTGGCACAGGCCCCAAGAGTGATGCAGAACTGTAGGAACAACATTTGTTTATCCTTCTGGCCAGTATCAAATATTCTGACTCAAACTGGTACATAGGAAATCATACCTTGTGCAAATAAATTTATCCATATAATAGGGCATTTCCTGGAAGGGCTCAGAGTCCACCTGCCATACTGTGGTCTGAATCTACAAAAACACTATCTGAACCCTAAAACTTTGTTCTAGAGAAGTGCATTTATTTCCTAACTACCATAACACTTCTCTGCTTTTCAATAAAGGATTGATTAAATTCCACATTTCAACCATATTTTCAATTCAGCTGAAAACAGAGAAAGCTTCTTTCTTACTGAAATGTTCAAGAGACAGAAAAACATTTAGGATAGGTGTTGCTAAGCTGTAAACAATAGTAAACTTTTAATACACCTCAATGAGAACAAGAAAAAGGCTCCTGAGCAGATATGAAATAATCCATTGTCTCAGAGAGTGACTATATTTCATTGGGAAAGGGAGGCAAGATGGTTGCCAGGAATGGCATGCCACATCTCGGCAGTGTTCAAAGCCAGGTTGGATCAGGCTCTGAGAACCTGATCTAATGAAAGGTGTTGCTGTCCGTGGCAGGGAGTTTAAAACTCGAGGATCTTTAAGGTGTCTTCCAGCCCAAATCATTCTATGAGTCTGTAATTAACCAGTACCTTGCTGCTGTTTGAAAAGGACACAAAACAGATGTGGAATGAATGAGGTCAGTCTTTAATGAGGAATGGCCTTACCTCCACTCAGCATTAGCAGCAGCTTCTATTGGTGTCTGTCCAATTCGCTTGAATCCTCTTGTGCATTGGAATTCATTATTTGCCTAATAATACCACAAAAAGCTGTTCTAGGCTATAGCTATTTGCAATAAATATTTCTCTTCTTTGCAGGAGAAGAACCACTTGCTCTCCAAAAACCTAAAATTGTACCAAATATCGTGCAAAGCTTGTAGGAACATGAAATAGCCTCTAGTTCATAGCTGCAATGCTTCTGGACTGACAGCCAGGCAAACGAGAGCTATGAACAGCGTCTGTCTCATCCAGAGGTTCAGCTGATGCTCTGGTCTCATTGCAGGTACTCGGAAGATGGAATACAAGGGCAACAGCTGGCACGAGACCTGCTTTATCTGCTACCGCTGCCAACAGCCCATTGGGACAAAGAGCTTCATCCCTAAGGACAATCAAAACTTTTGTGTACCCTGCTATGAAAAGCAGTTTGCCATGCAGTGCGTCCAGTGCAAGAAGGTAGTACTTTTATTTTGCTTACGTGAAACCTAAAGGATTGGAGTCCATTCAATTTTATATCCAAGTAGGCAGAATATCTAAATTTTGTATGTGTAAAAAGATTAAGATTTAACTGTTTTTAAGACATGATATAATTTCTGTTCCGCTTACTTGTAAGAGAAAACTCCCTGACAAAGTCCAAAGAGAAGCAGAAAGTAAATACTTCATCTAAAATATGAAATAAACCAGTCTTTCCCAAAGAAAGTAACAGGGAAGTTGAAACACATCAGGTAACTCCTCCACCATGAAGAAAGGGACAGGTGAAGGAACAGTGATGAGACAAGCTCTAGTACATGCATACCAAATGCAACATACAAAGGGTAGCTTGAAAAACGGAGTACAATTGAGAGTAAGATTTTACAATATATGCAGATTAAAGTACTTTTAGCATGGAATTTCTTTTATAAATAAGGAAATTACAATCAAGCACTTGCATGATTTTCTCAAGCTCAACTCCAAGCAAAATTATAATTGTGCTGTTGCTAAGCCTTCTTCCCCTCTTCCCACCCACTAAAATATTATCACCCTTCTTCTTTACCAAATCAAAATACAAACCTGGTGCTCTTAAGAAAACACTTTTTTGTCTTTTTTTTCCTAAAACAGGCTATCACCACAGGAGGTGTCACCTACCGGGAGCAGCCATGGCATAAGGAGTGCTTCGTGTGTACTGCGTGCAAGAAGCAGCTGTCTGGACAGCGCTTTACCTCCAGAGATGAGTTTGCATACTGCTTGAGCTGCTTCTGCAACCTCTACGCCAAAAAGTGTGCTGGATGCACAAACCCAATCAGTGGTAGGTCTCTTATGGCTGGTGCCTTTACATTTTGTAAAGGCAGTTTTGTGTTTTGAGTTGCTATTAAAGGCAAAACTAAACAAAAAGTCTGACCTGGTACAAGAGATGCCCAACTGAATCTTTTCATGGAACTCCACCTAGTCATTTTTGAGGTTAACCAAAAGACAATTACTACTAAGAGACATTTTTTCTTTTTTTTTTTTCTTTTTTCTTTTCTTTTGTACAACTCCAGTACACCTGATGATACCTGCTATAGCCTCAAACTCTGGAATGCTTTTTTACTAACCTGCTTCTTTTCCTGAGGCATTCTTCCTCCAGAGTTATGAATCAAGTCATGACACATGACAAAGTTCTTTTTTAGCTATCTAAATGCACCTCTACAAAACATAAATTAACATACTCAGATGCCATAAAACACTCTGTAAAAAGCTACCAGAATTCTGATCAGAAGCAGGTGCTTTGCTTTTCTTCTGCTGTATGTTGCAGGGCCATCCCTTGGAAGTTAATTTCTGCCATTATCACTCGGGTTAACAGCCTTGCTTATAAACTTTGCTGAAAAGCAACAGAAGTATTTGAGGATGAAAATACTAGTCACTACAGCTTAAGGGTGGCTAAATTAGCACAGCAACACAGATTTGTCACAATGACATTTTTTCACTGCTGTATGTTGGGTATCCATGTCAGTCTGCATGACCTGATGGCTGACCTGCTATTCTTTTCTTGTAACAGAATGATTTTGCTTTTCAAACAGGACTCGGAGGAACCAAGTACATCTCTTTCGAAGAACGGCAGTGGCATAATGATTGCTTTAACTGTAAGAAGTGCTCCCTTTCATTGGTGGGTCGTGGCTTCCTCACAGAAAGGGATGACATCCTTTGCCCTGAATGTGGAAAGGATATTTAAAGCTCAAACTAAGAGGTGAGGAAGAAGGGAGGAAAGCCGTACTTGCAATATATAGTCTGAAACATATGGATGTTCAGAGCTAGCTTTGCCACTCTGTGTCTCACTGCACTATTAACATTTCATAACCTTTTTCTTTATACTCTCCAAATATGGAGGGAAAATAACTTGAAAATCTCTAATAACAGTGTCAGCGCTTAAGATTTCTACCCATAACAAAAGTTAATGCAAAACTCATGATGTAAAACTCTTTGGCTGGTTTTGACATAAAATACTTTTTTAAAGTTTTTTTTTTTTTTTTCCTAAAAATTATTCCTGTTACAAGCATGATACAGTTCAAAGATTAAAATGGCCACACGCAATACATTCATAGGTGGATATTCAGGGTGAAGCCTTCAGCCCACTGAAATCAATGGCAAAGGCCATTCAATTCCAATAAGGCTGATGTAACCCTAGTGTTCTTGAGCTACGTGACTAGTGTGTGCTGTTAAGTCTGTGGAAAGATTGCAAAAGTAGAGTGTGTTTCAATGTACATGGATTTGCGACATGCCATAAAGAGATAATGATGAAACAGTGGAAGTTGGAGTGCTTCATGACAGGTACATATTTTATTGCATGTCTAGCTGATCATTGTGTGAGGTACAAGTTCTGGTCAACAGTATCAGTATTACAGTTAGTTGACATTACACTGCACATTGTATTTTTCAAAATAAAACTGTTTAAAACAAAACTGTGATTGTGGCTTAATTGTATTTATACAATATTTACAAAAATATTTTTACATTCTGAAGAAACACAATGCATACAAACACAACCCTTTTTGCACCCAATTTTTGGAGGTGTGAAGTTTAGACAATCCTCAGAAGGGCCCTGCTGTACAACTTAGTCGTTTACTAATTGAAGTCAGTGGGAAAATTATCAGCAAAAAATGAAGCAGTGTGTGAAAACACACTGAACTGACTGCAGCTGATAAAAGTGTGTTCATAGACTCTAAACTCAAGCGCAAAATATTTTTCTTCTCAGCAAGCAAGGTCAAAACAACTCAAAAGACATCTATCTGTGCAAAAGTCAGAAGTTTAACTTCTATAGTAGTGCATGCTTTAATTTTGTTCTCTATTGGGATACGTAGTACCCTTTGATGTATCTTAATTTCTGCTACATGCTTGCCACAGTGGCAACTGTCAGCAACACCATTTTGGCAGGAGAGGAACATCAAAAGGAAACAATACAACAGAAGATAAACCTTTTCCCAAAGCAAACTGCAAGAAGTATGACCGTGTTATGCAATGTACAATCCCAGTACACCTTCCAGATAGAATTCGTGTTCAGAAAAAGGAAGAAAGAAATATGTCACACCCCTAACAGGAATCTTCAGATATGACATTAAGATTTAAGAATATGCTTTCTCTGTGTGCTGCTGGATAGGGAAAGTTTGCTCTCTTGAGTTTGTCTCTTTGTACCAAGTGCAAAGAGCTCACAGGTCATCCCCCTCTCATTAATTCAACAATCTAAATAGATGTATCAGATCAGATTTAGTTTATTGCGCACCATTTGAAGAACTTGGCTGGCTGACATTTTTGAAGCGTACACTGTGCTTATCAGACCTTAATGAATGACTAAATTCTATCCCTTGATTTCATTCTATGATGAAAGCTGTAGCAAATAGCCACAAAAATCCCTCTTTATCCACACCTCCAAAAGGAGGGCAAATACTTTACTCTCTCCTCAGGGGTCTGCCAATCCCCCAGCACACTGCAGCTCTGCTCTAGTACTTTGCTGAGAGAAGAAAGACTCCTTTGAGTTAAAGGGGTAGTACCCTGTACTTGGCACTGATGAGAAGCCATATCTTGAGTCATGTGCTCAGTTTTAGGCCCATCAGTACAAGCAGGACAGAGGTGCTGGAGTGCATCCAGAGAAGGGCAGTGGAGCTGGTGAAGGGGCTGAAGCTGGGAGTTGCTTAGCCTGCAGAAAAGAAGGCTGAGGTGAGACCTTACTGCTCTCTACAACTGCCTGAAAGATCATAGCAAGGTGGAGCTTGGCCTCTTCTCTCAAATAGCCTCAAACAGCCTCAAATTTTGACAAAGGAAGTTCAGGCCAGGTATTAGGAAAATTTTCTTGACTGGATGTGGTAAAGCAGTGGAACAGGCTCCCAGGGAATGGTAGAGTGATCCACCGTCCCTGGAAGCGTTCAAAAAACATGCAGACACAGCACTTTGATACAACTTTGTGTAGAATTCAGTTGAAGGTTTGACTTGATGATCTTGGAAGACTTTCCCAATCTTGATGATTGTAAGGCAGCAGGAGCAGCACAGCTTGCACCTTGCCTCCCAAGTGCTACAACAGATGGCAAAATGGCCCCAGCTTTGGGGAAAGGTAGGTGAAATATGACAAGGCTGGAAAGCATCCCAGCCTGGAAATAAGACTGCTACCATGCAAGAGCAGCATCATGCTATAATTCCAGTTCAGTTTTGCATATCCTTCCTTAACACATACCAACACACACGTGCTTCTAGCCACTGGAACTACACAAAATACATCCCAGACTCCAAACCACTGACAAGAAGCCAGCCACAAAACAAAATTTTCATCAGACTATTACACAAGTGCAAAAGCCAGCACTTCATGTGATACTAACTGCTGCTACAGAGGCAATGCAGCTACTGACCCTTTTACCCTTTAAGTGCTGATCACTTCAAGTCCAATGAAATATAACTGTGTAAAATGAACAAGCTTAATTACATCAAAAAAACAAGGCAGTACTGTTTTGTTTTTAATTTAATTTATTTAAATAGGATAAGGCTACTTAAAAGACAAGTCTTTACATACAAAATGTACATTACGTTAAAGTTTGCTGTACTCAAGTACAAAAACTGCACAAGTGTTTAGTAAAAGGGAAAGGTCACACCATTTCAAAACACACATTCTTACCATTTTACAGCATTCAAGAAGTGCCTTTTACATCATAACAGTGAATGGAGAACTTCTGTAAAGAACTAAGCTACAGTTTTTGGTTTCAATATAAACCAGTGATTAAAATGTAAACAAGTTTTCAGATCATTACCGAGCTTCTTTTACTGGGTTAACTAAGTGGATTCAGAAGTTAATTCTTTTTTTGTTTTAACAAGTCTGGAAGCATTGTTATTATTATTTACTATCCAGATCTAAACCAGATCTAAACTGGCTTCACTTTGAGCCAATGAGTTTTAATAAAAACGTTTCCATTAATTTAATTGGATTTTTGCCCTGTAAGGCACTACCAATGATCCAGATGAAATACCAAATTTCACAGAAAACCAAAATCCATCTTAAATGATCAAAGGAAGGGAAAACAGGTTTGTGGGTTTTTTTTCTAGAATGCACATGTGTTAAGGCTCTCAAGGTACTCCTGTCTTCCTATCCATGTCCCTCTCCAACCATCTGTAAGCTGAGAAAGCACTGGTCTGCATTCCACTGGTTTTCCCCATATTTTATAAGTATGATCGTAACCAGGAAAACAATCAAATTTGCTACATTGGCACATTTTTACACTTATGCATGTATAAAATATGCCTGTGTACTTAAGAGAACATGGCACTAATCCATTCACGACTTCCTCTCGAAGTTTCATATCAAACAGTCCAATCATATATTTCCATCTGTGCATTCCTTGTTTCACATATCAAGAGAAACTTCAATTTGAAGTAATGCTGTTAAAATAGTTCATCTCTTATTACCAACCTAACTTGCACTGCAAATTCTACACTCCCATGCAACAAAAAGAAAAAAAATTTCTGTAGACTGTCTTATCAGCAGAATGGTCAGTTTTCTCACCTAAACTGATTACCTTTTTAAAGCCATGAAGGTTCTAGGCATCACTCTAAATTTCAATAGCTATTTTAACTATTTAACCAGACGTGGAAGAAAACTGAATCTTAGTGAAACAATGGGTGAATCACAGTGACATGGAGGAGATGAACTATAATAATCTTGAAAACTAAGAGTGGGGGTTTATCATAGTGTAACATCACCACCTTTAAAAGAAGTAATTAATTACTTGGTGTACAAGAGTGGATACTTTTAAGGTGACTGGTGATAGTGACTCCAGCTTCATGATAGGGAGCTGTTAAACTTGTTAAAATCTCACAGCAATCTGAATCTCTGTAAGTCTGTAAATTTTAAAATAATTTTATTTAAACTGTTTAAATATGACCTATCTATTTGAAAATATGGAAGTAATATTTATGTTTGAAGCACCATTAGCTACTTCATGGCCATGTAACATGCTGGATTTTCTTCTTTGCTTCCGAAGGCTTTAGGTCATTCTGCAATACAAGAAAATAAATAATTATTCTTAGAGATACTGTGCTAACAGGAGTCAGCCATTAATCTGACATATTTCAACCTGGTACTATTACAGTATTCAGCTACAGACTACTATAACAGCTTTCTATTGCCATCTTGTGGAGAAAGCTAAATATCACAGAATTTCTCTGGTGAAGATAAAAATAGAGCCAATGAATTTAACTACCTGCAAATCATACATGTGCTTTGGTTTTCAGCAACCTACAATTAAATATTCAAAGATTTCTTTCAGTTCTGCAGCTGAAAAACGGGGGTACATACTGGAATTTCAAAACATACTTCTGAAGTTATTTCAGGTTGTCTTCTCAAAATACTTGTTGAAATGGAATTGTATAAGGAAAAATACCCAAATACACAACTAGGAAACCAATTTACTTTTGTCAAATAGTAAAAACATTAAAAAAAAAAAGAAAAAGAAAATTTGGTCTTCCTTTGTAATGACCGGGATAAAAAGAAGATAAATAATTGCCAAAGCCTCAGATGAGATCATTTTTCAAGATGTAAAGATCAAGAAAACCCAAAGCAAAGCAAGGCAGATGAAGTGGTGAAATAACTCCCTTTCACCATCTAAAGTAATAGTTTAAAAAATTCTGAGAAATTAGAGCTTTAATAATTCACATAAGCAGAGTAAAGATAGGTATATGAGTTTTCAAGAACATACTGCAACACACTGGTTCAGGGAGCACAATCTAGAGATCTCTCTTCTCTTTAAAAGACTTTCAGTGTTAATTTATTTACAGGAATCCTGTGGACTGCAACCACTGAAAGTTTAAGGGAATTAGACCCAAAGCTAATAGGGATAGTTCTGTGCTATTCATTAAATTTTTCTTGAAAGTCAAGGAAGGAACAGTCACTTGCTTGGATACACAATTGTCTTGACTGTCATTACACTAAAAATAGATCAGGCTACCTGCCAAGTACACTGATTCTTCCTGACACAATAGTAAGCATCACTTACTATTCAACAGCACATTCTTTAATTTCAGATGGTAGAGTAAAATCCATAGAACACACTTGCCTAACTTCACACGTCTGACCAGCACCAACCAAGGCATGACTGAACTTACAGGTATTAACAAGATCAACCTAAACTGTGGCTATTGTAGAAAGTCAAATGTCAGAGGTCATAGCTTCTGAGTGTCAGCCACACAGTGGCACTTAAAAATGTCATCATCGTGTCTACAGAACATTTAAATTAAATATAAAGAAGCTGTGAGATGCATACTAGACAAGTTTCAAAAGCTCTGTAGGTACAGATCTGTCCAATACTTGGAAGAATTCTAAATACTGAAAGAAGTTAGTAATACTGGTAGTAGGAACAACACCTCTCAAGCATCAATTCCATTCAGAGCCTCAGCCATGCTTCTTTTAAAAGCTGCTAAAGCTATC